TATGGCTGGGTGTCGCAAACTGGCACTCGTGGATCTACTCAATTTTCGTATTNTTCGTATTCTATACGAAATCTCTCTCATCATTCCAGTTTTTATTCTGCTCTTTTCTCCAAAAGGGTGACCAGAAGACAGCAGTCGAAACCGGCGCAGGCAGATGCATCCTTATTGGTCGTGAAAACGGGAACTGAAACTGCTGTTTCGGAGCAACCGGTACTTTTCAAGAAATGGGCTTATGCTAGGTTGAACTATGCAAAATATGCATCACCTTTCAGCGTGGTAAAAATGTTTTTACGGTTAGGTTGACGGGTGATTGCGGCCGGAATTTCCTTGTTTAATTCGTTTTAAAAGTTCGTACTAATATGGAGACCCGTCTTTTAAAATGTCACAACTGGGACAGTCATTTTAGTGTTCGACACAAGACGAAGACGCCGTTATAGTTCCTAGTATACTAGAGGTAGTTCAGCATCAGTCGCTTAGTCTGAAGCACAACATTTACCCCTGGAATGAAACCGAACGCTGCTTACACGGAACCATTTGGAGGTAATAGACAGCTTCGCTGTCCTCCGGTTCGACACCCCGCTTTACCTTACGAAGTTCGCCACTCCAAGTCCCGGGGCTGAGGTTGCCGGTTTCCGTGGCTGAACAACTGTTTCTCGTGACTACCGGGTTACCCTGTCTGCTGTGATTCGCGTCCAATACCTGAGAAATATCAGGTTTTAGACTGACCCCTACCAAGGCCATGACAATTCGCCTAACGTGCAAATACGGGGACTTTTAACACGAACTCAGTTTTATACTAACTGTAACGATCACCCTCTCCGTCTTGACAGTTCGAGTTTGTGCTTATGCACGTTTGTATTGAAATTGCAGAACGATGAGCACGTTGCCTGTGTGATACAAAAGTTGGCGGTAGGTTAACACGCTCAACCACACACTCGCTAGAACGCTATTTCAATAAGGCAGTTGCATGACAATTGTGTCATTTTGACATGATCCTGAATAGCCTTGAGGAATTTGAATTACTGATATCTTTCTGAAATAAGTCGAACAATGGCATCGAACTACCCAGTTAAGTGATCAAGACTAGAAATATAGAGGGTAATGGAAGGGAGTTGAATTCTAAGCCTTGAGCTGACGATGGGCAGATAAATAACGGGAGAGATGGTTACGGATTTGTGGATAAAGGCGCATCCGGCCTTGGTAGGAAAACAAGTCATTAAAGAAATATTTTAGAAGTTGAAGGTGTCTGGTGTTGAATAATTGGGA